TGGGAATTGACTTAAATTTGTCTGTTGACTCCAAAATTAGGGTTCATTTCCAGAAATATTGAAGAATAGGAGAAACAATGGCAGAAAAATTTGGATGAAAAAGTCATGTGGTGAAAAGATTAAACAGTTGAGCTGTTTGCGGTCAATAATCAACATTCCCAAAAATCACTGGAATGTTTTACTTTTACTGTTTTCATTGCAGATAAGGAGACTGGTCCCTTTTCGCTTGGTCACTTTGATGCTATGTTTTTTCATTCACCGTATTGTAAATTGGTACAAAAATCGTTTGCAAGACTTATGTTAAATGACTTTCTTAGAGACTCAAATGCGGATACAACTGAGAATGGAATATTTTCCGGTCTTGAAGCATATAGGTGAGACTTGAATATTGTTATTTTGAAGTGTGGGTTTCTCTGTGTGTCGAGAAAGCCAACACTTGGAGATGATTGAGACACAGATTCAATTATCACTCTCTCATTATTTGTCTGAAAAGTTATAGCACTATAGTCGTCCAGCTATGTATTATAATTTCATGTAAACGAAGTATTTTACGCTTATTGTACACATTGCATACGATCCATATCGAACATGGCGCGACGACTGTGGCATTTTTTGTCACTATCAGAAATTGATATTTTAAGATTGAAATACACTAAAGTTACTGTGACTGATGAAAAATTAGCAAAAAATTTTAACTTGCTACAAAATTTGGAATTTTTTCACCACTATACAAAAATTCTCAGAATTTATTCTAAATTTGTATTATGAAATTGTAGCAGCTAACCGTTTGTTCTTGTTTTTGCTTTATTAAAAGTGTATGTATTTAATTTTTAAATTTTTCGGGTTAAAATTTAGCAGTTGATTTAATACTCATCATTTAAGTATTAAATGTAATGTAAAGAAGAAATATTATTACGAAAACTGCTTTATATAATATTCATACGTTCTGCATGAAAATAAATGATGTAAGTGTAGAATGTATATCATGTGGAATAAATAATCAGCCAAATGTGGTTTTAAAATTAAAAAATTGTGAATCTGTTCTTTTTGTTTCCTAGGGATTTAAAACTTGAAGATACATATTTTGACAGAACTGTTGAGAAAACTTTCATGGCATGCAGTAAAGCAACTTTTGAGAAAAAAGTGAAGCCATCGTTGCTACTTGCCAACCAGATTGGTAATATGTATACGCCGTCTGTGTACGGTGGGCTGGTGTCTTACATAGCACAGTAAGTATATATACACCGGTATATATATTTTTTTAAATATTAATTTTGTGCCTCACAACAGTTTCGAACATTGAATATCATTTTTGTCTCTCCTGACTTTTTTAATGTGTACTAACATACATTGTGTGTGTAACATAAGAATGTCTAGGGTATTTTTTGGTCATGTATATAAATTGTTGCTACTTCTGTGATCTGTTGCTATGCAGAGAACACTTTTCCCAGATGGTCGCCATTACCATTTGTATGTACTGTTGCTATGTAGAGAACAGTCAAAGATGGCAGCCATTGCCATTTATATGGACCTTTGCTATGTAGAGTACATATACATGTACTATTGTCAAAGATGGCAGCCATTACCATTTGTATGTACTGTTGCTATGTAGCGAACAGTCAAAGATAGCAGCCATTGCCAATTTTAAGGACCTTTGCATATATATAGAGTACATATACAAGTACTATTGTAAAAGATGGCCGCCATTACCATTTGTATGTACTGTTGCTATGTAGCGAACAGTCAAAGATAGCAGCCATTGCCAATTTTATGGACCTTTGCATATATATATAGAGTACATATACAAGTACTATTGTAAAAGATGGCGGCCATTACCATTTGTATGTACTGTTGCTATGTAGCAAACAGTCAAAGATGGCAGCCATTGCCAATTTTATGGACCTTTGCTATATAGAGTACATGTACATGTACTATTGTAAAAGATGGCGGCCATTACCATTTGTATGTACTGTTGCTATGTAGTGAACAGTCAAAGATGGCAGCCATTGCCAATTTTATGGACCTTTGCTATATAGAGTACATATACATGTACTATTGTAAAAGATGGCGGCCATTACCATTTGTATGTACTATTGCTACATAGACAACAGTTGTGGCTATTGTATGTTATTGTATTGAAGAGTAAACTTCATGTAAATATTACAGTCTTAATATGTCTAGATACATGAGTAATACAAATGTATGTGTATATATTGATAAATCTATCATAAGCTTCTTCTAGTTAACAGCATTATCAACCTTTGCTTGTAGCATGTATTGCCTAGAAATACATTGATTTGGTCGTGGTGTGTTTTTCTCCTTTTAGCTCTCAATAATACCACTTTTGTGTTTTTCCAGAAATTCAGTGGCTGACATCGCCGGCAAAAGAGTTGGGTTGTTTTCTTACGGTTCAGGATTAGCATCTTCCTTGTATTCTATAAAGTTTTCAGAAGACACTGCACCAGGTTCCAAATTGTCCAAATTATCTGAGGTCTTATCAGATGTGACTGTTAGGTTAGATTCACGAAAGAAAATTGCACCAAAAATATTTGCAGATACTATGAAGCTGAGACAGGATACTCATCATCTTGGTAAATATGGTTTTTATGATTTCTGCAGAAAATGTGTAATTGTAGTTTTATACCCAGACAGAGCTCATTTTTCCAACTCACAAATGACTTATGTTCAATTTATTATTTACTTGTTTTAGTCCCTTTATACCCAGGCAGTACCCATTCTACCCACTCTCCAATTCATAATGGCCAATGTATTATTTACTTGTTTCAGTCTCTTTATACCCAGGCAGAACCCATCCTACCCACTCTCCAATTCCTAATGGCCAATGTATTATTTACTTGTTTCAGTCTCTTTATACCCAGGCAGAACCCATCCTACCCACTCTCCAATTCCTAATGGCCAATGTATTATTTACTTGTTTCAGTCTCTTTATACCCAGGCAGAACCCATTCTACCCACTCTCCAATTCCTAATGGCCAATGTATTATTTATTTGTTTCAGTCTCTTTATACCCAGGCAGAACCCATCCTACCCACTCTCCAATTCCTAATGGCCAATGTATTATTTACTTGTTTCAGTCTCTTTATACCCAGACAGAACCCAACCTACCCACTCTCCAATTCCTAAGGGCCAATCTGAATGTATTATTTACTTGTTTCAGTCTCTTTATACCCAGGCAGTACCCATTCTACCCACTCTCCAATTCCTAATGGCCAATGTATTATTTACTTGTTTCAGTCTCTTTATACCCAGGCAGAACCCATCCTACACACTCTCCAATTGTTAATGGCCAATGTATTATTTACCTGTTTCAGTCTCTTTATACCCAGGCAGTACCCATTCTACCCACTCTCCAATTCCTAATGGCCAATGTATTATTTACTTGTTTCAGTCTCTTTATACCCAGGCAGAACCCATTCTACCCACTCTCCAATTCCTAATGGCCAATGTATTATTTACTTGTTTCAGTCTCTTTATACCCAGGCAGAACCCATCCTACCCACTCTCCAATTCCTAATGGCCAATGTATTATTTACTTGTTTCAGTCTCTTTATACCCAGGCAGAACCCATTCTACCCACTCTCCAATTCCTAATGGCCAATGTATTATTTACTTGTTTCAGTCTCTTTATACCCAGGCAGAACCCATCCTACCCACTCTCCAATTCCTAATGGCCAATCTGAATGTATTATTTACTTGTTTCAGTCTCTTTATACCCAGGCAGTACCCATTCTACCCACTCTCCAATTCCTAATGGCCAATGTATTATTTACTTGTTTCAGTCTCTTTATACCCAGGCAGAACCCATCCTACACACTCTCCAATTCCTAATGGCCAATGTATTATTTACCTGTTTCAGTCCTTTTATACCCAGGCAGAACCCATCCTACACACTCTCCAATTCCTAATGATCAATGCATTATTTACCTCTTTCAGAATACCAGTACTATATTTAACCCACATCTTATTTCTTTACAGCTAACTACACACCAGTTGGTTGTATTGATGATCTGTTTCCTGGTACGTGGTATTTAACGCATGTAGATGAGATGCACCGTAGACAGTATCTCTGTACACCATTGAATGTGATCCCAGAGTCATTGCAATCTTCTGTCATTCCTGTGGTAAGTACCAAATGCAATAATACACTTTGATGCATGTACATAGTAGTATAGTGAATGTGGCACAATGCATGTATGAATTAGCAGAATCTAAAATTTAGATAAAAATGTCACTATTCTCATTGTTAGAATTGACTCTTTGGATATCAATTGCTGAATTAAATTGAATTAGCAATAATACATATTAGCCAGGTTATAATATCAATATCATTACATCGTAACTATCATGTACATGTGGGTTAAGAGCACTCTGTCCGGGAAATAATGATTATATACGAACCCTACTGCAAGTGATAAGCCCTTATTACTAAATATTAAAACAATGTTGGATATCTTTCTAGTGTCACCATTCACCTTGTACTTAATCTCTTCCTCGTAGGAGACTGTGTCTAGCAAGAGACCTTCTTCAATACCATCACCAGAAGCAGTCCCTTCAAATACGGCATCGTAAAGTATAAAGATTAAATTGACACAAAATATGAAGGAATGTCTCCAACTTTTTTTATGAAGAATAATTATTTAAACTTTTGAAACTGCACTCTAGGATGTTGCTTAATTCTTTATTGCTCAAACCATCAAACGGAATGGAAACCAAGACTTTCTGCTTTGACCCTCACAAAAATACATAATTAATTTATCTCTGGTGGCAATTAAAACACCATCCTTTAATTCTTTGAAGGAAAACTGCATTGTGTATAAAACTGTTACAATACCATACATTCACTGCCATGTATGTGTTGATGATGCTATTGAATGCAACTTTTCTATTTAAATTGCGTTCCAAAGCAACAGAGGTACATTATAGCTATCGATGTATACTTATTTTGCATTTTTTCTTTAAAGTTGCTGATAGTTCTCATATGAGCGATTTTATGAATCAATGCACTGTAAGTTATTTAATGTAGCACATGTTCTTTGAATATTTTAATCATCCAGTATACACTGAATGCAATTACTGGTTTACGTGCGCTTCTAATAGAGCAAATGTGGTAATACTAAAATACACTAAACTCCATGTACATTTGTTATTTACATTGAAATTAAGTTCACATTCCTTTTGTCAGAACAGTTGAGATGTATGAATTTGTTTTCCTGTAGTCAGACCTAAAAAAAACATAAGTTGGCAAGGAAAACCACTTGTAGTTTGGATTCACCACTTCTGTATCCGTTGATATTTTGCTTCTCTGGTGATTACACCATTCCTGTCAACTGAATTACTGTCAACTGAAATATTTCTACCATTGTCTTTTTCATTGTATTCAAGAGTTTATTATTGATAGTATTGTTTTATGCAATGTATTTTTTTTTGCACTCTTGTCATTCGATAGAATCAAAGTTAGATTAATAAAAGTGGACAAATTGTTAATGTATAAGAATAATCTAAAACATGATATTTGAATAGATCATTCTATGATCACTGCGAGATCCTGTGTTATGCGTTGAAATAGAAAGTCAAAACAGAACAAACAAAGGTCGTAGCATCTTTGTGACGTCAAAATATCGTATAGGATTTTTGGGATAAGTGTCTCAACACCATGTTCC